ACGAAGAAGCTCTGGGCTTGCATCTCACTTGATGGAAAGTATTGACCAGGCTGAAGGTGGAAGCGAGCTTCACCCGGAATCCTCAACCACGGAGGAACTGGCTTTCTTACTTCTAACTGCCGGAACACAACAATGTTGTTAATATTGTTGTTATGGCCACATACTTAGCTAAGATGGTGGTGGCTAGCCAGGAGGACTTAGAAGAAGCCCTACCACCAACAAAACCGACCTTACCTTCACTGGTTGAGTTTTATTGGCGCTCAAGCTGTAGATCCTGGCTACACAGGAATTGCAGCGGTGGGAACAAGAGGTGGGAATAGTCCCGTTTTTAAGTGTACAGTATTGCCAGTCCTCCATTTGCCTCTGGTAAATTAGAGAGGGTCGTGCTTCTGCAGTGGAGACTAAATGACCTGATGATGAAGTACCGAAACTTCTTGCCCCGTACAACCAAACTGCGGAATGGACTGTCGTCTGCGGTGTTTCCGGACGGATACGACCTGCAAGCTTTCAAGAGGAGAGCGTATCTTTACCTTAAAGGCCGGCAACGCACCTGTAACGCCCCTGGGTCTGCGGGTGTCTATGGGCGACGGTAATCACTTACCATCAGGTGATCCGTCTGCTCGTTTGCCTCCTATCACATAAAAAAAAAAAAAAAACCTATCATAATTATTATTGTTCTGTTTTTTGTCATCTGCCATTGTAACCGTATGGTATCTTATCATCTATTTCGACACAAAACGGTTTTGCTCCTGCATTGGAGACTATAGTAACCTCTTAAATCTTTATGCTCATAGAGACTTGTCAACTCGGAAAGGGATCAACACCGTATCGCCTTTCGCGAGCTGTCATCGTCTTTCGCGAGCTGTCATCGTATTTCGCGAGCTGTCATCGTCTTTCGCGAGCTGTCATCGTCTTTCGCGAGCTGTCATCGTCTTTCGCGCTGTCAATCGCGAGGTGAGGCGTTTATATTACGGTGCAGATAACGGGACTATTCCCACCTCTCGTTCCCACCGCTGCAACTCCTGTGTGGCCAGGATCTACAGCTTGACCGCCATAAAAACCCAACCAATGAAGGTCAAGTTTGTCCCGCGGGAAAGATTGTCATTGGACCTGCAACGAAATTAATCAGAAGAATATAGAAGGAGTTCGAAATTAGGGTTCGACTTCCCTCCGTGGCAAAGCGGATGACAGGTGACAAACAAAGGTTAAGTGTGCGTTGCAGTATGGAGTTTCATACAAAGAACACTGACCGCCTCGAGTTGATACTGCTCCGATCCCTTTCCGGGTTGATTTTTCGACGTCCTTTAGTCGTGTGTCGTCCAAAAATTAATAAATATTCCTTCCCAACGTTCAAGTAGTCGCTAGTCTGCACTGCCCCAGGGTAAGGCCATCGGTGAAGGTGAAAAACGTTATTGTTTTTTGGTTGGCAACGAGCTGGGTTTTCGGTAGGCGGCGCAGGGGCGGGCTCGGATGGATGGAGGCTCTACTTTGTAAAAAACATCGAAGTTAAACACTAAAATGTGTTTTTAGAAAGAGAAATTTAAAGTAAAATGAAAAAAAAAATTAAGAAACTGTGAAAAGAATACATTTTTTTTCCTCTTCCATAAAGGAAAATGTGCCGTAAGATATGTACCATCCTAGACTGCATCTCAAATCTCACTTAACATCAGGCACAATTTCGGTCAATTACCTGCCTTGTTCTGCTTAAAAAAAATCAGTAACAACTGTTACATCCATCCATAAAGTGGACTGAGCTCATAAAGGTAGCAGGAAGGCGCTGGATGCAGGCCGCTACCAACCGTGCGATGTGGAAGTCATTGGGGGAGGCCTATGTTCAGCAGTGGACGTCCTGTGGCTGAAATGATGATGATGATTATGAGGACCTTGTCAATGCACTTTTATACGTCCCAATTAACTTTTGCCTGTCACCATAATAAAAAAATACAAAGAAGTATAAAAACAATTCAAAGAAACAATAAAAATAATTTATTTGAATTATTACTCTGTTCTGTTGAAACAATCTACTGTTTTGCAATAATTATAATAAATATTACTTATTATTACAACGCTGACAACTTACGTTATGAAATTAAGTAGAAGTAATTGATATTGTTCAATAAAATTGTTATAATATTGAATATTTTTACAGCACTATTAACCAATTTGTAGTAGAATAAAATGAATATATTTGCGTACTTCGGATGACATTGTGCCGTGTCAGTCACATAAGGCATATCCTGAAGTGTGACACAAATGACCTGTTGTGACACCCTCAATGACAAGTAGAAGGCATCCCATACGATAAAAGACGAAAAATTATTAATTTTTAAATTAGAAACATTATTTACGAGTACCTACAACTACATAGATTCTTTAGACTTTTTGGACAGATATCAAAGCCTAATTCTCTCTCTCTCTCTCTCTTAAATTTATGCATCTTCATTCGTTTGTCATAACCAAAAATGTCCACTTTCAAGGATTTATCCAACGATCAGACCTAATGGTTTTATTTTCTGAGATAGACACCTTTCAAGACAACTTAGGAAAACTAAAACATCGATATACCAACTATGATATACCTCACATCACTACCCACTGTGGCACATCACTATCGTGGGTGTGTCTACCTCGAGGCCCTGGGCATTGTTTTGTGTGTCTGTCTGACGGGACGCCGACATCGCGTTAGCTTTTATATATATAAAATGTACGTCTCTACATTTGCATGGGAAGGTTTGACGAGACGTGGTTTTGGATGTGGAAACTACGTTTGGTAAAGTTAAACGCTAGATAGAGTTACAGACAGCTATCAAACAGCTATACATTAATGATATATTATCTTTCAAATAAAATATCAAATCTAACCAATAAATAAATAAAAGCTGATTTTCGGAGACTTTCTGGCTATCAGCCATTTGTTCGAGAAAATGTGACTCAAAAGGAATCGAAAACTAATAAAACTAGACCGAAGAGAATGTAAATCAACCAAGAATGCAAAAAATGTAGAGAAATCGAGTTTTTCAATCGCTTGCCCAATGGACAGACGATAAATGTTCCTAGCTGTTGCTGAAATAACCTATTTTATTAACTCTACCAACCAAGTGAAGCAGCAAATCGAACGCACAGCGTTGAATAGAGCTCTGTGATTGGTTCATGTGTGACCCTGTGCGTCCACGCGCACTGTGAGACCTCATAGTAATGTTTGTGAATACGTTTGTTGGATTCTGTTTGAGATCAAACAATTTAAAAGTAATTAGCAATCCTATGTAAAGTCAAAAAAGTTTCATGGAAAAAAACAGGTCGCCAAAATAAAAATAAAACGCTTCCTCAAATTAATCAAAGAGTTTCTAATCCTAATGAATGTTACGAACACATAAACAAAAAGTTTCACACCGTTTTTAATTGCCGGTTCGCCTAACCAAAACAAATACGCTCATTATTTCCTTACATAACTGCATTTTGATAAATGACGCTTACGTTTAGGTTTTGCATATCTAGATTTGTGGCGGAAAGGATGCATAGCATGCATTTGCATTTGGTAGTCTGTGGAATTAAGAAATAAAGTGTCAGAAGTGACAAATCGAAATGGCGGGAAAAAAGCGCGCCATTTTTGTACATAAAAATAAAAGTCCAAATTCGTTCTTTATTAAATTTGAATTTGTATACTAAATACAATGACCAATACTATAACTTAAATTAAAATCATTCGTGACATCTGTAAATGTTCTGTAAAAGTTTATATCTTCGTTATTTTGAGTAATTCTGTTTACCCAACATCAGATAATTGGTGATGTCCATTTAAAAAAGACAAGAAGACATCATTCTGTCACGACATGATCACCGCCGATCTTAACAAAAGGGTGATCGGAAAAAAGTTGTATCTGGCCATTTATAAAAAAAAGCACCGAGATAAAATTTCCAAGATTTCAGAACGCCATAAAAACAAACAAGACACGCGTTCGAAATTCAAAAACGTGCACGTTCGGATACCTCACCTCGCCGCCAAAAGCGGGTGTCGGCTCCGATCCGAAGTTGCGATATAAGACCCCTAATTACAAGTTACCACTGACTATTATCAAGTAGCAAGTCGCTTTCATATATTTTACAAAATGGATGGAGAGCCTTCACAAGCATCGTATGGCTTGAATATTTATATTGTGGATTTATTACTTACGTTTTGTGTTTGTTGATTTATCGCGGGGTGTGGTTTCCGAACGTGGTCGACTTTAAATTTTCGGGTTGGTACTGCTGTGGAACTTTTTGAATTTAAATTCGGAATTCGGTCATAGACAAGAATGTTTGCGATAGGAGTTTGACTTATCAACCGACTTCAAAAAAGGAGGAGGTTCTCAATTCGACCCGTATGTTTTTTTCAAGGTTGCATATAATTGGAATCACGATCCGTCGTGACTTCTTGCAACGAATTTATTACGTACCAGCAGATTATATCGCAACAAATGTGACATAAAGCATCAAATCTAACACTATAGCAAATCCTACCTAAGCTTTTGTGCGAAAATAGTGATGTGTGTTGAGTTCATTTTCAAATCCTTTATTCGTCAATAACTTATAACGGAAACGCCTCTGTTTAAACTATCAATACTTTGGACACTTGTATTTTGTAAACATTGTGGGTAACTTAAATAATAGTCAAGTTTTCAGGTAGAGATCTAATCTAATCATGATTAAACAACTTTTTACTATGAGATCAACATTAAAGTGACCGAAAAAGATTTACTATTTCAAAGATTCACAACAGTATTTCACTAGACCTATTTCTCTACCAGGCCAACTTTCACAATGAGATCAATAGTAGGTAGTGTGCCCAAAAAAAATAACTATTGCACTTTTGTATCGAAAACAGCATTTCACTAGACCTATTCCTCACCTAGGCTTATAATTATATCTTAAAGAAACGTATGACACAAGTTACAAACTCGTCAAACCTTCAAAACTTTTTATCACTCCCTCAAACCTTCACCTAACCTTCTGCCCTCTTCCAGAAAAATGCGGGCTCTCCGACGACCCCGGGCTCCGAGTGAACGGCAAGGGCAAGAAGATGCGGAAGCCCCGCACGATATACTCCAGCCTCCAGCTTCAACAGCTCAACAGGCGGTTCCAGAGGACACAGTACCTCGCCCTCCCAGAGAGGGCCGAGTTAGCGGCTAGCTTGGGGCTGACGCAGACTCAGGTAAGTTGAACTTTCATTATGATAATAGAGCAAAAAAAACTTGTAGAAAACTCGAAAAATATCTAAGAAATTAAGGCACGGTTTCTGAATTGAGGGTTTTAGCTCATGCGTGCTCATATACTCTACTTAAGTGTGATCTTTTCTTAATAAAAGAGCTAAAAACTTGTAACAACCTCAATAAAATATCTAAGAAATTAAGGCACGGTTTCTGAATTGAGGTTTTTTAGCTTCAGCTTTTCTTAAGTCTGTACTTTTTACAGATAATTTCTCTTTAATCATTCTATCTATTAACAAAACCGCATCAAAATCAGAAAAGTAGTTTTAAAGATCTAAGCATACATAGGGACAGACATTTAGTAGAGACTTTGTTTTATACTATGAAATGAAGAATTCTCAAGCAAAAATCTCATTAAGAAATCGAACTAGGTATGTAATTGGTTGAATTTTAATTCTATTATCTATTTTTGAGTGTAGATTTCTATCTAAGTGTCGCTTCATACAGGAGTACCTAGGTGGCGTTATTACGGATGTTTTTGTCTTAGTACAAAACTTTAAACGATACTCAACAATTAATTAGACAAGATTATGCTAAATGTGTCTTCCTCAAGGTTACAATGCATCAGACATTCCCCCAAGCTGCTAACCCCCACCCCACCTTACCGTTGCGTTTGCTTTACCCGCAAAAAAAGGAATTCGCCTTATCACTCATACGATACGTAGCATACCTCAACCGCAAAAATAATTGAAATATTTCATCATTATTCACGTCCGCCATTACGAAAACGACATTTCCCCCTCACTAAAAATCGATTCATCAAAACCATAGACTAAAATTTCAAGAAGCAGTAGTGACAACGGAAAAAAATAACTTTTTAATTATACGTTTGATAATCTGCGTCTGCTGTCGATTGTGGTGACGGAATTTGTGTTTTAAAAGCACAAGATAAAGTCTAATTTTAGACGGTAGAGATTGGAAAGATAAAAAATAAAGCCGGCACACATATGTGGTTTAATTGTTAGGTTTGTGACATAATTGCTATGTGCGGATAAGCGGTGTGGCTGTCTTTTTTTAAATATTTCGTAAGGAAAAAAGTGTTCTACTTTCGGTGGGTCGATAATGCTTTGTTGTTTTTTACTCAGTCCAGATTTAGACACGTCCATTATTAATATAGGTGTCTGTCTATGTCTAATTATTGAGTAAGAACTGACCAGGATGCCCTACTAATGAATAGACTGATACTAAAATGTCTTACTTATTTTTTTATCATATTGAGGTCTCTTTACTGAAAAGCGTTTTAGTAACAGGAAAAAGTAGTAGGTACTTGGTTGCTTTTTACTGTGTTTACCTCACTAAAGCGAGGATTAGACTAGCAATAAAACTTGCAGAAGTTGACTTCCGCAAGCTGTTTACCACTAGCTGTGACAAGAGAACTTCTGCTAGTTTTATTACTAGTCTAAACCTCGCTTAAAGATTTCAAAAGGTTATTTTTTCAAATTTTCAAATACAAAACACAAGCTTCCAAATTCGAATTACCATTAGCTCATAATGGGCATAGACAACAAAACTGTCATGGCGTCTCCCGCCAAGCACACACGTTCGGATACGTCCAATCGGACTCGCGTCCGATTGATTCGTCATGTGTCGCCGTGCAGAATGAATAATCGTTGTATGTACTGATCATGTTCGGAGTGGTTCCGTGGGAGGCGAGCGTTGAAGCTTTGGATGCGGTATTATGTTGGTAGCATTGGTTTGCTTTTTTTTAGGACAAAGGCGTTGACTTTTTGTGCCTTTGATTTTTGACATGCGTGTCGTTGATTTTTAGAATAAATCAAAAAATATCATGAGGTTCTTATACAAAAATAATCTCTACGTCTTCTCTACATTTTCTTCTAGGGCCACCTTTTTCAAAGATTAACTCAATGATTGATGAAAACACTTACCTTGGATGACACCATCTTTCTTTAGCTATTAACAAACGTCAAAAATCTGTCAAACTCCATACAAAAACACCGGTTAGATGATACAATACAACTCAGCTCTACTTTTTTTATAAGAATTTGAATTAATTCGTTTTTGTAGCAGATTGCACTCTCATTTATTTTCCCAAAACAAACCTCCAAAGTATAATTTCGTAAATAATTATTTATATTCCATTATCATTATTTGGTCAAACTCGAATTACGAATTACAAAATGATGTATTGCCGCATCCAACGTTGCGTTACTCGTGAATCGGTAACGGTATAAAAAGTAAGGTAGAGTTAATTTTATTATAATTTAATATTTCTCAGTTATTGTCTGTGAGCCGCACTTTGATGAGCCCGCATCGATATTTGCTAGTGCTGCTACTGTGTCGATAATTTTATCGATGTAACTTATTTTACATTATTAAGTAATTTATACTAATTGACGTTGTTTGAAAATTACTCTAGTTATTATAGTTTGTATTATAATTCGATCAGGCAGATTTAAGACATTTTCAAGCATGAGTCATTGCACTCAGAGGCTTGCAATGCTTATAGGTTAGCAGTAATTATCAAGTAACTGGTATTTTTTTTAATAATCCTGTTGCCTCTCTACATTTCGTAATACCCATAACATAATACCCACAACTGACAACACTGTATGAACTAACACCCATATTCACAAACGATGCTTGCTTAACTGAAGCAGCAAAATTGCACGCACGGCGTTGAATAGAACACTGTTCTTGGTTCGTGCTTCACCCTGAGCGTCCACGCACACTGTGAGGCATCACAGTAATGTTTGTGAATACGGGCGTAAGTTTCTTTTTCAAAGTATGATTCTGTCAGCAATAATTTGCTATAATGTTCAAAAAGGGTCCATTTAGCTCAACAATAATATTATTGATCCACCAATTAGTATCAGTAGCAAATCGAAGTTATTATCGTGAGTGTAGATAGCTAATAATCCCAATTAAGTACGCTAAATGGTATTAATTTTCATAATTATGTAAAACGAAACGCATGCAGATTGGACTTAATGATACAACTTTATTAGTCGAAAGAATAATGTTTACTACATTATGATTGTAATTTGAATACAGTTAATATGATTTATAATATTATACAGTTGTAATGTTATGCGCTGTATTAGTTTTTGCAGTGTGAAATTACATTTAATCACTTTTTTTAATAATTGACTAGTTGTAACATTTATTGAAATGGATATCTTTTTAATAAAATATTCTGTATTTGCATTAAGTGCAGAATACTGTAGAGACAGTTAAATACACTGCACACAAACCAAAAAAAAATCAACTAATTTTTTAAGTAAATAAAAAAAAATGCCGTAAATGACAAAAAAAATGTTACTTACGACATTTTTACATGACTTTTATCGATATTTTGCTACGACAAATTGAAATAAAACATCACTACGCCACCAACCGTGTCTCGATTCGATTCTACGTTCTATCGAAAAAAGCGGAATAGAACCCCATACGATTCCGGGCTGTTCCTAACAAAAACTCTACCAACATGCTACCTAGAACTCGATTAAGACTTTGTAACTACCCGCACCAATGCCAACTCTACTGTGTTGACTTTAAGTTGTTTTTGCATTGCGTTATACCTTTTTGCGACAGTTAATAAATCAAAGCATTTGTCTTAGGTGCTGTTTATGATCTATTGTTTTCTCTAGCGTTGCGCTCGATGTTTTTTTCTCGTTCTAACTCTTAAGGTCAGGTGGATTATGTTTTTTGTCTCGCTTCATGATTGATTGAGCCCAGCTTACGATTATGCGATTGGGATTTTGCATTACTTTGTTAGGTTGTTCTTGCTGACTACCCCTGAAATGTCAGCTTCATTCATACTACACATTCATTTCATATCTAATTAGAGTACCTACACAGTGTTAAAATAGCATTTTAACTTTTCTGCAAGATTTTATTTTATGTTATACGGAATAATTTTATACGTGTCTTTTTGCTTTTTACCTTTTCCCCAAGTACTTAACTTCAAAATGAATAAGTTATCAAAATAACGAGCTTTTGAATTAAAATTGAAAACGTTTTATATCTCCACATCTATAAAAACTGGCTGAATTCCTTTTTTGTAAAAAAAGATGGTTATTTAATCTGTCCACTGTGTCCAGCTCCCACCTTACGCACAGAACGACATAAAATAAATTGAGCGTCATAAGTCACAACTCCTTTGCGTGGAAAAAAAACGCATTTCGTCATCGCACTCCCATACCTAATACATTCGTCACAGGTTCTGATTCGAACCGGTAGCGCCATCCATCATGCTGTCGGCTGGTCATCAAATGAGGTTTTTTACCTCCTTGCGTGGGGCTTTAGTTTTGCTTTTCAAAATTAGAATCGGACTTGCTTGTCTATGATTTGTGCCAGTACAGATAATTACGAAGAAGTCATTCGAATTTCAAATTCGAAAATTGACGTTCGATTCATGGAACTCGTCGATTTCAAAAAGCTGGCGTAGATTAAAAATACACTAATTTTATAACGTTGCCAGTACCTACCTACTTTTTATGTCCTAAAGAGGTTTGTGAACTTCAAAACTTCAAAAAAATAAAAGGAAAAAAACTGTTTTAAAGCAATCCGACCACGGTAAATATAATTTCAAGCGTTGATTAGGTTTCTTTAATTATTACGAAACGAAAGAGGCGTGTCGGATCGTACGGAGAATTTTTGTGGGAAACTATGACACGGTCCGTGTGCCAGTTTTGGTACGCTATGGAATAAATGTGTTTATGGTCGGATATTAAAAATTAATGATTACGACATTTTAGGCAAAGGCATAAAAACTTGAATTTCCAATTTTTTTTTGTTGGCCAAGACAAAACAACACGAATAAAAATTTAGTTTTTGATCAGGAAAAATAGATTAAAATCACCAAACCATAAACTGATTAATCAGAGATGTTAAAAGCGTGGCAAATCTAAAGCTGTTGTTGTAGTTTTGTGGTTTTTCGATATTTCTTTAAATCTTGTAACGCATGGAATCTTAACAGGAAATAACTCAACAT